AAAAAAAAAAAAAAAAAAAAAAAAGAAATCAATTCTCTTGGCCACTCACTGAAACCAGGTTTCACTTATGGCCAGAAAGCTATGATATTGTTTAGTTCCAGACTCAAGTGATTTTTCAATGGACATCTGGTCTCTGAAAGAGCAAAAGAGAATGTTGAGTAACTTCTTTGGCTGTCGAATCAAGACCACAAAAACATGCTGGATGGCATTAAGAGCTTTAAGCTGGCTATTGATATTAYTGTAGCCAAGGGTGCAACTAAAGASAGGAGCCAGAGGAGCTTAGGGAAACATCTAGAAAACCAAACTACTGAATTATTCTCAAGCTTCAAAATGTGCAAGGGAAGCAGCACACAGAGCAAGCTGAACAATGTAAGATACAGTGGAATAACCTGCTACTGAAATAATGGCTCACAGGGCTTCTAATGTTGGATGAAGTCCTACATACTTCACCCCCATAAAACCATAAAGRAACAATGGCAAAAAAATCTACTCCAGTGGATATATGCTCCAGCTACATGATTGTCAGAATACTCCATCAGTTTCCACTCAAGATTGTATTATGCTACCACTGGAAAGCAACTGAGACATTAAACTGCTTCATCTTACTTCATTTAAGTGATTTATTTAAACACAGATATAATCTAATAAAAGTAGGCAAATAATTCTTTACTTATGCTGATACCTTTAAGCTATGCCAAGTCAGGGAATAAATTTAATAGACGATTACAAGATAAGGTACTTGCACTTTTGAGGATAGATGCAATTAAAAGCTCTCAACACTTATGAGCAACATTTGAAAAATACCTGTTTAGGATTACATAAAAGCATATATAGTCCAGATGGGAAAAAATAAAACCAATGGAAAATTCCTTTTCCAAGTCCACTAACTTAAATATTCTACAGCATCACAGCTTTGCATTCAAATAAACGCAGCTACTCAGATGTACAATTTATGTATTTACACACAAGTTTGAAACACATCATCAGCATACCATGAATGTATTTCCCCTGCCATATCATAAATAGGTGATTTAAAATATGCACTCAAAGCGCTAGATCAGAGATATTTTACATACCAAATATGCAATCATTGAGTCACTTCACCTAGTTTTTGCTGCCTAAAGAGAGTCATTTAGGCTCCCTTTATTGTTAATGGCAGTGAAAGCAAAAGCAAAAGGAAGAATATACCACCAGAGAGCAACTTAATCCATCCTAAAACATACTTTYCGTTCATGCAAGATGTTTCAGCCTTTGCACCTCTGTGTATGATTACTATAGAGATGAGCTTTGGTGAACTAATTATCATTAAATAGAAAATATGTTCTTTTAACCTAACTAAAGCTGAATACAGGTGAGATGAATCTTATCCTATGAATCTAGTCAGGGAAAGTAACTGGAAACAAGAATTTTAGTATTAGCTGTAATTAAAAAATTAGGTTAAGTATGACTACTTTGGAAGCCAAATTTGAGCTTTAATCTTAAGACATTCATGACTTGGAATGAATGAAAATGAAATTCTTGCTGCCAGTTTTCAKCTGATACACAATTTAAAGAAAAACACTGCAAGACTTTTTAATTTGTTGGCTTGGATGTTTCAGAAGAGAAATTATATTAATTCTATAAACAACATTCTCATGCAAGTAACAATATAGAGTATTAAAAAGCAACAGAGAAACAAGAGTGAGAAAGATWTCTTCGTATTACTTTCTGTTACAAGCAGATTGGTTTTCTGCAGAAAAYAGAAGAAACACTCAAGTACACAGTACCCAACCCTATTTTATATCTGGGTATCTTAATCTTCGAGGTCCTGAACTGCTAGCACAGCATTTTCATCAAGGTCTGATTTAGAAAACAACTGCAGTTCATAATTTCKGAATTCCAAATAATACTCCAAATTCTCATCCCAGATGCAAATACAACTTTCCTGCAACTGTAAGGGTATCAAGACAAAATGTGTCTTGGGCAGTCAGAGATCAGCCTRTCTTTGAGAACAAGCTCCAACAGAGTATTGCAAAAGTGCTGTGTTAACCCAATACAACATTCCCCCTCCACCTTTTTTATGTCATTACCATTTTTCTGCTCATGTTGCGTAACATCTGCTCACATTGACAGACACTCCTGTTCACATCATGATTTTGAAGGATCTGCTTTTATGATACACAGTTTGACTTCTGTTTTCAGCACTAGTGCTAGTCACCAGATATTGGCCTGATCTGACATAACAGGTGTTTAACCTTATCATCTCTAAACTTCCAACAGCCCTATAGTTCTCAAGATGCATTTCTGCCTAGAATAATCTTTTTATCTAATCTGTAACTCTGCATTTCAGGTCTTCAAATCARRGAATCATAGARCATTRAGGGTTGGAATAGACCTTAAARACCATCTAATCCCAAGCCACCTGCCATGGGCAGGGGCATCTGCAACCTGCTCCAGTGTCTCACCASCCTCACAGTAAATCCTTYCAGCTRGAACAATTGCACAAAACCTTTTAACTAATCTGATGAGTTAATCACATAGTCATATTTTTAATAAATTTCTTCATYCTTCCCCAGTGCTTTSTCTGAGATGGAAGCTCACCTCTTGGTGGCACAGGACAATACATTTCTTGCTGAATTAAATGMACAGTGGTCCTGTGGTGCTTCACAGGGAAGCAAAATGAACACCACAAGCAGTGAAATATTCAGCTTCCATCTTTTCCTCAAGCAATTTAGAAGTAGGCATGAAAATAGACCAWATGTAATTTAGAACTACAAAGAAATTCTTATCTCTTCTGTTTAAATATAAGTAATAGAGTCATCATGTATTATTAAATCTAAATAATACAAATCAACATGTTTATCAAACTMACTTACAAGCATATATACAACTGAAGCAGCATTAAGCACTACTTTTAGTTCTAATTTGGTTTCTTATGAAATTTAAATTTAACATTGATTTACTTTCAACCTTTTCCACATTTATCTTACATAAAAAAGTTGCATTTCCTGCACACAAATGTAAAACTGAAAGTATCTAAAATATAGGGCAAACGAAATGAAAAAAAAAATCTTACAAAGCACTGTAATGGTCCATTTGAGACATGAAACAGTTAGAATGCCAGTGAAAAGGGTCTTTTAATTGCAGACAAAACCAAGAATCAACACAGTATCAGTCAGTATAATGCARTATAATGTAGTAGAAGAAATTTCATTGCTTTTGGATCAAATTTAAGACAGTACTCACCAATTCTTTCCTAAGTTGAATAAAAAACTGTTTGCACTTAAAAGAAATTTTTACAATCTTCAACCTAAATGAAAAACAAAATCACAGTAATTAAACRTTTGGTATACTGAATTGTCGTTAAAGATCTAATTACACCTACTGAAAATAAAAACACTACTTTCTAGAGAGAACAGATTTAATTTCCATACACAAAAAAAAAGATATCAAAGATTATATAAAATAATTTGTAAAATTTGAAATTTGTGAGCTATTTATGTTATCCATCAAATTCACTTGTTTATTCATCCTAAACCCAAGGCAGTTKCTAATTTTGGTATCTTTTCCCTATTCCAAAGCCCAAAGAGCTTTTCTATCCCCAGGTCATTCCAGGCAGATGTTCTCTTTTCTGAGGCCACTTTCATTATCCCTTGGAATATGAAAAAATCCTTTGAACTTCACCTGATCCCTGAAAGACATTCTTTCTCTATGTTCTTACATGTCTTTAAATATAACCAGAACTTGTTTTAGTAAAATGGCTAAGATAAGATATAAGTAGAGATAGGACTCACAACCCTGGCTTTCATGAAGGTAAAAATTATTAGGAGGAAAACAAAACATTTACAATATCATGTTACAGGGAAAAATCTGCCKACAGACCTATTCACCTTTCAGGTTATCTATAAAGATATGAAATTCTGAATTCCAGACTGTTTTGGATGATCACTCTAATACTAGTTAAGTAAAACAGGAAAATACYGGCTGTATTTCCATCACAATCTTATTATATACTTTTTCAAAGAAATGCAATATTAGGATAGTCCACATTTTTTATTCAATATACAAGAGTATCACTTTGGTCAAGAGAGAAAAATGATATTGTCAAACTGTAAAAAGAAAAACACAGTAAGTTTGAAAAAGGAACAACTGATACAATACTGCAAACTAACTGGAATTACCACTTGCATATTTATCACCTGCTGAACAAAAAACCCTTTAGACCACGAAGATGAGAAGCAAAMCATTAACAGACACCTAAGTTGGATATCTATATATAGAAATTATCTTCTTAACTAAATCAAATAAAGACATTTTTCTCCAGGGGATTATTCAGAGCAGGAAGCTAACTGGAATGTCCTAATTTGTTGGGAGAGTCTTTATCTGCAGTAGTATAAAAGCACTCTGTGAACATTAGTGTTTAGATTATGCTTATTTACATATTTTCTCATTTCTTTTTTCTTTCCTAGCCTTGCCATTAGTTTAAGAGTTAACAACAACAACAAAAAAAGCACCAGCAATAMCCGTCCCATTTGTTGGTTTGGGGTTTTTAAAAAAAATTCTTAACAAATTCTTGCTTTCAGAGTTATTTCTGAAAGATTTGAAACTTTAAGGGGAGTTTCATCTTATCTACTGAAATCAAATTATTCTATTGGCAATGTGCCAACCTTCTTAGAACCTCCTGTAACAAAAAATTGCTTAAGGGTAATGTAGGATGGGTCTTAAATTTGCTGGATGGAACAGACTCTAGTGATTATTAACAGTCTGACTGTGGCAAAACCAGAAAATTTATCAAACTGCAGCAAATTTAGGCTGCAGTTAATGAATAAGTATGTTATAGATTTTCTAAAATTTTGGTATACAGTGCAATTAAAAGAATATTTTAATACCTTTTCTAAAACATGAACTCCATACATTCTGCAATATATGAGATTTGCTTAACAATTGTGCTTACAAAAACATTTATATCTTCTATTCTTTTTATTCCTCTTCTGCTAAAGAAATTACTGCCTTTGGTGATTTGCAAACTCAAAGACAGTAAGAATAATCTATACTGGGTTTTCATCTCATCCCATAATTTAGSCAGAGCGAGGTTGGCTGACTTTTAAGCCTGAAACCATTTGGAACAGGCTCAAAGCTGTAACATTAGCCAATAAGGCCCAACTCAACTCAAAAGAGCCACCATTCAAGTACAAAGAAATTACTCAGCAAAGCTGATTCTTAGCTATTTCCAAAAAACACAGCAGATAAGAGAGTTCATATTCACTGCTAATACCCTGCCAGGCACTGAATGAACATATCCATCCCCAGCCCAAGGAAAAGACATGTCTGCCTGTGTTTTCTTTCTCTGACTGCTGGCAATCSTGCATAGCCAAGGAAAAGTGTAAGAAGAGGCAGGCATCAACATTATTTTCCTAGTATGATTTTCCCTAAACAATAGTCATCCTAAACAATAAAATACATCTTTTAAAATGAAAAAGTATTTAGAAATCTTAGTCTAAAATGCAGATTGTACTCAAACACGTGAAAGGAGTCTCACAGTACCTAAGGGCTTTATCAACCTGACCCTTGGGAGGTGATAATGTAGGACACAAGCAATCCAGCAAATTTCTTGAGCAAGACCTCTTAGTCTACCAGGGAAGATGCTCTTGGTAGCCAACTCACAAACAAGAAAGGATTGTCCAGATTTAGTATCAAAGATAAACTTGGCTCCAGCAGCTGACATGGCAAAGGTAAGTATCTTAAAGGAAGTGGAGAGATGCAGCAGACTAAACCATAGGTTCAGGAGAGGAAACTCCAGTTTGTTCAGAGATCTGGTGGGCAAAATYCCATAGAAGGTGCCTTCTCAATCCAGAGCAGTCCCGATGAGCCAGAAAATATGCAAGCATTAGAAGAGAGCAGCCGAGATGAACTCAGGACTGCTGACTGGGCTCAAACACAAAAGGAGCTGTACAAGATGTGTAAGCAGGATCAGATGACCCAGAAGGAACACAGTGCTACTTAGGCATTTAGGGATAAAACTGGGAAATCCACAGCACAACTACAGTTGCAACTGGCACTGGATGCAAAAGGCAGTAGAGCTTTCCATAGATACATCAACCACAAATGACAGGCTAAGGAAAGCACATTTCCAACTGCTGAACAGGTGGTCTAGGAACAAAGGAAAGGCTGACATACTCCATGATCTTCTCCTTTGGTCTCTAATAGCCTTGGATTCCCAGGTCTCTCTGCCTGATAGCAAAGTCTAGGGAAAGAAGGAATTATYTACAATACAGGAAGATCAAGTTAGGACACATGGGATAAAAGGCAGTGTCCTTTGTTTTCCCCTATTCCTCACTTGTCTTCCTCCTGTTTCATTWTCCACCATGTTCAAAAGGTTCATAATAAGCAATTTAAATGTAATATCAAATTAAGAGGGGGAAGCCAAAAACATTTTACTTAATTCTTCTCTAAGCAATACAGTTAAATGTTTATCTCCTTCTACATACGTGCAACTCTACCCTCTCACTCGTCTCAAAACTCATCTCAGGAGTACTGAAAAACAGGTATCCAAACATCCATTGTAGCCAAAAAGCACTGGGAAGAGATTACACAGTTCCAGTTTCACAGGAGCAAGAAAAAGTGGAACCAAAAAGAAAAAGTGTCACTACTAGTGGCACAGGAGCAGCAGCATGATTATGGATAAAAAGAAAGGGTAATAGGTCTATTATTGAGCTATATTGTGGCAACTGGTATTTCAGATTATTACTCATAGCAAAAGAAAGCCTCTAACAGGGTGCAGTGGGGAAGGGTGGTTCTTTTTTTTTTTCTTTGTAAAGACCAATTATGTTGGTAACTACAGTCTTCACAGGAAGAAATTAATATCCCTGATGTCAGCTGATATGGTTGAATACAAAGAAGAACTGTTTAGGTAATTACACACACAAAAATCCACACTAAGCATTTAGATCAGCATCCCTGGCATGCAAACAATATGAAGCAGAACTCACAGAAACCTCCAACTTCCATTAGGGACATGTAGCTTAATTATGACTTAGATGGTACGTACTCAGTTATTTACCAGTATGCTTTACAGAACCTATTTCTACTATTGCTATTTTCTCAAAAATAACAGCAGCAAAATCAGACTGAAATAAAACCTTCCTGATTATCAGCATTCCATTTATAAAGCAGCCTTACCCCAGGAATGGCTTCAACACTTCAAAACTCTCATTACAGGAAGGATCTCTTTCTTAGAATGCATTACTATCAGAAAGGCAGGCCTGCCTGACCAGTATAGTAGTTTCAGATTTATTATTGTAAGATCCACTTTTCATTTACCCAATAACCATGAAGATTGGAAATTTACATGCTTTGTCATTGTTTCAGACTTACTTTTGTCAAATGCATATACAACGTTTGCCACATTCAATTGTACTGATTGCAGGTAACACGAGACAGCTTTTTTTTTTCCTCTCTCCAAAAATCTACTAAAATTCGACCATTCACACCATTTCTCCACTTGGTAAACAGAATATGYAACATTCTACAATGAACCTTGAGACAAAGCTTAGCACAGAAAACCAGAATATCACAGAAATTCACTGGGTTGCRGAAAAGATCAAGCACATATCAGCAGCAAACGAAAATGCAAAATCAGTAGCAAATTAACACTTCTCATCATTTTTCTAGAACGAACAGCTTTTGTGCCTGGTGAACTAATGTCTGTTATGATAATCTTATATGACTGACTTCACCCACTCAGAATGCAGCTATAGCAACTCAGAGACACAAGTAATAAGGCTGTCAAAGTGTATTCCAAACAGGCAAAGGAAACCAAGGCAAGATTACTTCTGCAGGAACTAAAAATGGCGTTGGGGAAGATGACATAACTTCTAAAGAGCACTACAGAAGTCACAGTACACAACAGGATTTCTCTTAGATCTTTCTTGATCTTATATGATTTAAGAACAGGATCCCAACTTAAGTAAACTGATAAATAGAGTTGATAAATAAGTTTCAGAGTGGTAAAAATATTTTAAAATAGCAAATAAAAATGAAACAGCTGTCCTTACCACTGAAAGGTGTTAATTCGTACTCTGTTCTTAAAAATTAGTATTCCACCTGACATCACTCCAATCATTATTTCATTGTTACTCTGATCCTTTAAAAGAAAAGAGAGAATTACCTGAAGAACAATAAAAAYATCTTTTGAAACCTCATATATATTCATTGCTACCTCTAAATACACAAACTAATGTGGAAAGAAATGTGTTTCAGTAAGACAAATCAGAAATTATTCACTCCTATTTAGGACAAACTCGAATGTTTCCTCTGTTTCCTTATAAGCTACCATAAAATATTAATTTTTTAGGTTAGATCGTCTGCCTTTCACCAACTTTGAAAAAATACATACAAGGGTATTCTAGTTTATCATGAAAAGCAGCACTAATAGACTGGCTTGGCATTTGCTACACTAAAAGCAACCAGCAACTTCAATTCCTACCTGAAAGGAAATTGCAATCTCAGAACACAGAGAGGAGAGATTCTAAAACAAACAATATTATTGTAAGCATATTCAAATAGCACATTTTTCCTGAAACACCTTTGCACTCTCATCAAGCACCTGCTATAGAACTCCCAATATATGTGCAATAGCAGTGGATACAGTGAGCAGTTAAGTGGGGTACATTTTGAATTCTATTCCAACTTTCTCGAGCCTTAGGGCATAGGACAAGAATATTTAAAAACTAGGAATGTCTTATTTACTAAAAATAACATTATTCAGAGGCTTTGCAGAAATGTTAGCACTGTACTGACAGGTTAAGACCATTTGAGTTAAGAGCTTAAGCTACTTGCTTTACCAGGTAAAACTAACACTCTATCAAATTCTAGTACCTCACCTCACATTAACAGTTCACTCTGTATCACGATAATAAGTTATAATCTAATTCTAGTAGGAACCAAATTAAGTATTTTCAAAGCTGWCAGATCCTCAAATATCAAAGGCACATTCAACAAGCACATTTTTTTATTCATCAGTAGCCAACTGAACGGGCATTCAAGCCAACGAAGCTCAACCTGATTAACACACAGATAACTAAACCCCAATTTAAGCAAAGAAATACCCTCCCTAGAGTGAAAAAGTGGATATTCAATCAGTAACTCCCAGGTAGGCACCTAATAAGAAAATGTCTTTTTCCTTGTTTTCTCCTGTAAGCAGAAGCCAGAGAGGCTCACTAAAAAGAAAAGTGCATTTTCCCACAAATCTCAGAGAATCAATTTTTATATTACAACACTAGTTCATCCAAACTTACCCTTGCATAGTGCAATTCAACTCCATAAAGTTCTAAGGTACGTGCTGTATTGAGATAATTGAACTCTGCTTCTGCAGGAGACAACCCTCTGAAAGAAAGCAGCTAAATCAGAAATGTTCTAACACAACCTCCCACATCAGGCTTCCCAGTGACTGCAGACAGAAAATCTGCATTCATTTTACTACTTCTACCCCCACCCTGAAATCTGAATTTCCTTTCTCATGATAAACAGACTGTAAGCCAAAAACTTGAACAGAAAATAACTTATATCTCCACAAAGACAAAGTCTTTACAGGAGTCCACAACACATTTTACTTTAATGCACTTTATCAATTAAATGTTTGTGGAGCCCTAGAATTCAGAAATTAGTTTTACTATTCTGTATTTGGCACTGATAATTTAAATTACCATCAATTCACTGAAATGTCTTTACCCCAGCTAAGAGAATTTCCTAAGCCTTTATCTGAAATGTAATGTAACATTCAGTAGTTTTGAATGCAAATAACATGCTCCAATCAAGCAAATTTTTTATAAATATTGATTACATTTTGTTAAATTTAACTGTAACAAAAGGCACTTAAGTTCCAAAATATGAACAAACCATCACTGGAAATTACCACAATGTTACATACTGAAAAAAAAAATATTTTCCATTGCTTCATTGCCTTTTCCTCTTTCTAAAGGTCACAGACTCACACACAGGAAAGAGCAGATACTGAAGAAAAGGACATTGTTACTTCTAAAGTAACTCTTTTACTGGTGAAAGTATCATGAAAACAAAGCCCTTATGCTCAGAACATCCCCGAAGACTGAAAAAAACCTCTTATACAGCTAAGTTAACATCCTACATAATACACACAAATACTGTTTTCAGAGTACTTTTAAATTAACATATTCATTACTTCACTAATTTAGATAAAGATATTCTGTACAGACCATCAACATACAATCTACAAAAAAAACCCCACATTATCTTAAAAAAAACCAAAACCAACGAAAACCAACCAACCAAACAAAAAACCCAACACCTCACCCACCCCAAAACCTTKGAGAAAAAAATACTCTTTTGTTTTTATATAATAGCACAGCATCAGCAGTCAGGATTTGACAAAGTCAGTATCATCTGATGTAAATCCTTACATGTGCTGCTGATGTAATTTTGCTATTTCTTTTTCAAAGTCTTGAGGCTGGCTAGGGATGAAAGAATATTCTGAGAGGTAGCCTGGCAAGTTTTCTGAATGGTTGTAGTCTCCCAGCTCGGCTAAAATATTAAAAAGAGAGGTTATTGTTTATCACTGATGTACTTGGCATTGTGCAATGCCCCCAAATTCAYGAGTCTGCTCCCACATAATTTACGATCTACAGCAAACAAAAATAAAGACAGTTGAATTCCCCTTTTCCCTTCTGAATAAACAGTCACATTCTCAGTGAATACCACAGAGATTATTTAGAGGGAGCTTTGATTATGCACTTGCRAAGAAAGTTTTTAGTGCTTATTAATTAAAGTGTTTAATTTCTAATAGACAAATTAATCCATAAATACTGTCATTAGAGCTAGCACTAAGTATATATATATGCATATATACACACACACATATATATAGAATAGTATTTCATTTTTCTTTTGTTATTTTACCTCTGCTTGTTTTCATGTGATTAAACAATTTTATTCTTTTAACACTACAACTGSTATTTCATCATGAAGATCTGCAAAATCCAACTCATTCTGCACCAAGATATATTCAGAAGCATTAGAAAAATATTTTTTGCACATTCAATTGTATGTATGAAAAAAATAACACATACATACACCTACAYTGAAACTATTCTACTTGAAACTACTAAAAAGTGCATTTACATAATTTCTAACATGTTCCTAAGATTTTAAGAAATAAATTACAATCACATTTGTCAGAAAAAAACATGTAAATAACATTTGATAAAAAACCCAGTCTTTGAGGCTTTCTAACTGCACTAAAAAAAATCAGCTTTAAGTATCTGCAATCCATGTAACTGATCTACAGTGATAGATAAGAAACATAAAATGAAAAGTGGAAAGATAACAGTAAYTGATCATGATGTGGGGTCCTGGGCAGGCCTAGTGGCACTGACAAATGSATGAAGGCACTTATGGAGCAGGAGGATGAGGAAAGGAAGGTAGGAAAGAACTCTGGGTCATTTGCATCACAACAAACAGATTCTATTTTAAATCATTTAAAAACTAGAGAATTGAACCAGGTTTTGTAACAGAATGCATTCCTTGCTGAAATCTAAGAGCACAGGACTGAGATCTGTATCTACCATTTACATATGTTTATAAAGAATCCAGGAAGTTCATTACTAGGCAGGTACTGAAATCATTAGTTACAGCTCTGCAYACTGAAGAACTTGATGGMAGCAGAATCTCATGGATAAATGCAAATACAATGCACYGTGCATACCCACCACTTCTACAATATTTGAAAAAACAATTCATATTGCATTCTTAATACCCTAAAATGCTATAAAGTCTTCATAGCTCCTGTCACATTATCAAATACTTTATCTCTTCTAAGACAAATCCCTATGGCATGACAGCATCTTTTCAGGCAGCTGAAGTGTGGGAGTTTTGTTTAAGATAAACTGTTCTATTGATTGACCTAGAAAAAGGTGATCACTTAGSAAAACCATGTATAAAACATGACATCACTATATATTTTTAATGAAAATATTAATTTGGACACTATTTGTTTGATATGTMCAAAGTATGCAAAGTACTAATGTGGATATATCTTTAACAGTAGAAAAACACATGAATATAAATTAATGTATCAAGATTGCCTCATTTAAGTGTCTGAAGAAAAACTGAGTGAGGAAGAAAACAATCTCAGTTTTCAAAACCCATCTACTCACTGGATGGCTTAAAATTGCCAAGACAGGTATTGAACTTTCTGGCCAGATATGACCAGAATTCCCTTTTCCACACSTCTCTGGAGGTTCACTGTATGGTATGTTAATAAAGTTTTAGTGTCTTAAGAAATACTTTTTAGTGTCATTCTCAAGGCAAAAGCCACAACCTCATGCCTCAAAATACACAGGAATAAAAAATTATTGATTTGGGGTTTTCTAATAGCATAGCTTTAAGTATCTTTTCCATATCCAATTCAGCAAAACATGCTGGGGGAGGAAAACCAATCAATTTCCTTAATCATGAGAAAATTAGCACCATGTCCACAAACATCACAATTTATGGTATAGGAAGTCCATTCTTTAGAAACTAACCAATACTACATTTTATATATTTCAGTACTGAARAGTACACAAACACTAGTTATACTTACATTGAACAGCATAGGAAGCCAGAAGAGCAGCAGTATTATAAGGACAGGGCAATCTGTTTTRTTTTTAAAATGAGAAATAAATAAAATTACATATTTCATAAGACATTTGGCTATTTTGAAAACCCCAGTCTTTTATAGTCTATCAACYTGACAGGTAACTATTATAAACACTTCTACTAGTATAAACAGTGATTTATTTTAGATTTTTTTTTGCAGGCAAAATMTCTCATCATTAACTTTTTTTGACCAAATTTGCATTTAATGTTTAACAGAACAAAAATCTCTTACCTTCCAGTAAGAATGTCCTGCTTAATTTGCAAAAAGTACTGGTACCTTATTTAAAGAAGCAAACAAAAAACATTATAATTAAAAATAAAATTATTGCAGCCTTTTTCATCAATTTAATGTATTTTGCTTTCAGTTACTGCAAAACTAAAACTTGACATTTTGCATGCTATTTCCTAAACTCTTGCAGAAAAAAATGAAATTTTGCTTAGTATAATAATAATACAACTTGGTGAGTTAAATAACTTACAGGCTATGAACTTGTATTTCACTAAAAAAYTACAAATTTCACATTCGTCCTGCTTTAAACAGCAACCACAAGTTGAAGTTTGCATCTGTGTATGGAGGTACCCTCATAAGAACTCCAGGTAGACAGAATTAATTTTTTCTCACTGAGTATTTGACACTACCATGTTTTCACTTACATTAATTATTCTTAGTATTTTGGAGTTACATTGTTATTATAAAAGTTGTGGACTCCATTAAATCAAACATCTCTTAACTAACTTCCCTTGAACTTCTGAAGCATTCCTGCTTTTCCATAAATTTATTTTGGCTTGGAACCTTCTACATTATTACTATTATAAATATCCTMTGGTTTCCTTCTTGTAGTTCTGATTCAAAAGCTGGGCAATACCCATTCATTATAAACACCAACATTACATGTGAAAAGCGCTAAATATTAAATATTTCCCAAGAATAACTTCCAACTAAAAGAAATTAAAATCCCTTAAAATTCATCCCTTTATTAAACATAATAGGACTTTCATAACTGTGCAGTCTTCAGMAAGTGGATTAACTACCATCTAAAGACTTCCACAAACATTTACAAACACACACAGAGAAATCCAATTATTTACAAGCTACAAAACAGTAGAAAGGTAAAAGATTCTATGTCTGAAAGAAAATGAGGGAAAACATTTGTGAACTGATAAGCAAAGATATTAGTCCATGTGCTCCACTCCTACAAAACCATCTAGAGATTGTTTCACTGACCAGAAAGGCAAGAAGCTTAGTTTAAAAGGTATTAACTTCATGAAGTTAAAACTTAGACATTACCCAGGCTTTAGAGACCTCAAAATACTCAAAATGCATATTCAAACAAAAAAAGATAGACAAAGCAAAATTTCTTTTCCCGTTAATATATGCAGTAAATTACAAGTTAAATTTATATTTTGAATGGATATACTCCACATGCTTTGCTTGAGCATTTCTTCACAAATACACAGCTGCATTTCCATCTTATTTTCCTTTTTTTTGGTATCAAGCTTTATTAGAAATATTTCATGGTACTTAAAAGACCTCTTGATTAAGGGACACCAGAGTTCATCTTCTGTCCACTGTTTTTCAGTGAGGTTAATGGCTTATTAACCAACCACCCCAATTTGAACACTGAAGCCTCACATATTATTGAGCAAAATGGGAAATCAATAGAAGCTTTAGCAAAGCAGATCTACAAAAGCCTGAACAACAGACTCCACTAAAACAACAAAAGCAGCAGTGCATTACCGTGTTTTCATCTTTTTTATRTAGCTATAGCTAGAAAAGCACAGGACAGAATTATTGCTAATGGAATAAACGTTAATAAGCAACTCTTGCTGCCAGGAGGAGAACTAATGAAGCTTCATTCTCTCCCAAGACAAGTTCCTGAAGCGAAGCTCTCCAGCACACACTGAGCTCCACTGACCTCTCCTGACCTGGGGCATTCAAACCTGCCTCGCTCACGTGAATTCACAGAGGTTTCATAAGACACGAGCTTGCACTGAACCTTGCCCTGACATCTATTCAAACTGCTTCATGTGTCTGCCATTGCTCTGTTCTCATGGAATTTGTTAAAATCGAGCATTTTTGAACAGTCTCAGCTTGAGCTGGAATTGTCAAAAGTTGCACCCTTCTTTTCTTTATTTTGAGGTGGGAATACTGATTACATGAAAGGACCCGKATTTGTCACATGGAATCCTAAGCTCACTCCAAAAAAGCCCAGGGATAATAACGTTCTCTTTATAATAATTCCAAATACAAATGAGTTTTCTCAGGGGCAATTAGGCTTATTAGCAAAAAAGGCAGAGCTGACCTAGATACAGAAATCATACATTATTTCTCATTTGAAAGAAAGCTGTATTTGTAGCTTTRTATTTAGAGAATAGCACTTAAACAGTTCTCTCCCTCTTTATGGTTTACTACACACTGATCAGCATTTATCCTTTTTTTCATCTCCTCGGGAATATTACATATTTTCCTTTATTTCAAATAACATGTTTTTCATTAGTTTGATAAAGCAAGTTGCCAAATTACCCTAGAGTAAATATTTCAGTAAAACAAAGTCTCATTCAGGATCCCTGGGACTCYTTTTAGTGAYAGATAGATTTTGCATAGAGATGKGCAAAATTTTGTCCAAAATATGACAAATCAAAGGAAATTATAAACAAATATGGATTCAAATTTTCACAGTTTGGGTATTTAGGTTTCAAAAGCTATCCTCAATACTTTTTTTGAATGGGGCTGACCTGTTTTCAGWATGGCCGACATCCAAAAATTCCAATCTGTCAAATCATGCCATTTATGTAGAGGGCCAAAAGTAATTAAAAATATGGAAAATTTGAGGCGTTTCTTCAGGGACTAATTGCAATTCACAAGCCTCTCATTTTGATCCACACTGAGCATTTTCTTCAACAGATTTCAACACACTGCTATCAAAATAATCTAATGTGATTCCTYCTAGGACTACAACTATATAGGGATTAGTTTTATTAGTGCTAAGCAGAAAATTGAGGAGTAAGTGTCAAAAAAATGCAGAATGCTCAGCAATTTTTTAGTCACAGAGGAGAACTAAGTAAGGATAGAATTAAATTTGTACTTATTGGTAAATACTGGGATTAAGCTTTTCCTCTGTTCTCTATTTTCCCATTTCGGTTTCTACTTTCTAGTATTTTCTTCATGTAGTTACTTTACTTTGCATATAAATTTATAAATTATACAACAAGAATGGCAAAATTTTCATGTTATACCTTAAAAAAATTAATGATTGCTCTAGAMAATTATTTYATTGACAAAGWAACCAGACCTACCTTGTATACTCTTCTTGGAGTTTGTTTGGGTCACTTACAAAAAATTTAACTCTGAAATTCAGACTGTGAGGAGATCCTCCTACGGTCAAGAAAAGTTATTTCTAATTAATCAGGGTACCCTGGAAAAATAGCATAATAACAATAGATGAATTGACGAAATACATACATTACTCACTTTTTAATTGTTTCCTGATAGGTTTGTTTGGATCCAACCACCTCTGGAAAGAGACAAATTATAACAGCAACTTCAGAGAAACAAAGCACAAACCATAGTCTTATACATCAAGAAACTGGTCCTTTTCTATTACTTTTTACTTGGTMTTTTACCAAAATGCCTCACTGGCATACACAGGCTTGTTATTGATTCTGGAGACATCACCACTATCATCAACAACTAAATGCTACTGCTCTTCTTTCCCCAAGTTTAACACAGATTGTCCAGATATCTGTTTCAGTGTCCATTCTACTTGGAGTTGCTTCTGTGATTGTCACAGTAGCCTGAGAGAGGTCAGAACCCAATTATGGCTATGTTTAACAACCTTCAGCTAGCCTTTAAGAACTACCTATGGTAGTGGAGAAGTTCCAGCAGGCTCATTTACCCAACTCAGAAGTTAATTTAACTATTTCCAGTTCTTCTGAYTCTGGATCAAAAACTGAAATTGGTYRAACCCATACATTCTACAAGCTTGCATGAGTATATTGGAAACATTTCTTTTTAGCTCTGACACATTGTTTTCATGGTAACCAGATAGGTGCTGAAGAGACAAAATATTTAGTAGAAAAAACACAAAATCTTTAATTGAATCAAACACCTTTTAATTTATTCTTTCAGACTAACCCTTAACCAGATCCTTCTATTACTGTGCTGTGYTCATCTGCTTCCAGACACATAAACTAAAAGAAAGAGAGCTTAAAAGTCTACCCTTTAGAAAGCCAGATAAATTTCTCAGTGTTGAGGAAAATATTGAGCAATATTCAATTAATACTTCTTGAAAAGGCCAAATTATTTTTCAGCTGTGTTTTTCTGCTTGCCTGTTTTTTCAACCCAAAACAAAGTTTAGAATAAAAATATTATAGAGGCTAGCCCACCAATATCCTAACAGAACTATTCACARGTGAATGTGACTGACCTTTGACATACAAGTTCGGAGGTAAGTTTTGACCCTGTCACTGTGCTGCACATGTAACAGGAATTAGGTAAAGAACTGCCTTATAATGATTAACACTTAGCTAAATTGCACTTTCAAACAAGTATTGACCGTCTGATACCTATAGCAGAAAGCATCCCAGAAGTGTTTTTTATGCAATCACGATCTCAGCAGTACCACTGTAACTAGAGCARTGAATGTTACATTTGCATCTTTGTTTCTACCTGTGATTTGCAGTTTCAGGTGTGCAGAATTTCCTTTCAAATAAAACTCATGAACTATAGTAAATACTCATTTTCAAGAGAGTCCATTCTTTGTCCAAATGAGATGACTGCCCTTGTAAAATAGTGGACTGTCTAAAGCACTATTGAATGATTACCAGGTATCTGGGCTAGAAAYAGAAACTCCATACATGACAATCTAAAACCCCCCACTTTATTTTGTAAGTCCTAATGACAAAAACAACCACAAAATAAATTTAAAACATATTTACTATTTTTGACAATGATAATGGAATCTAGTAAACAGATACAATTAAACAATCAATATCCTTCTGAGCTGTTACTTCAGAAGCAAAAAACTCAGTATTTTACTCCAAATCTGTGACTACTAATACCTAGTTTTATCGTAAGTACAAGATGATACAGACCCTCTTAAATGACACTGTTGGGAAAGATGGCACAATCTTGCAATGGTTTCTATTTAACTCTCTTTAAATAACACAGACTACATGAACGAGAGTGATGAACATGATGATTTTTACAAGTATACTTATAAAACAATCAACTTACAGGGTTATCAGTAGATTCGTCAGCCAACTGTAAACCAAAGTAATCTCTCTCTGTCAAATCGAGATGCTTGAAGACTACGTCCAATAGAACTTGTCCCTGATCATGTTTCTGAGGAGAACAAATWCAGACCTTTTCTTTAATGAACAAATACATAACTGGACACACAGATTTCAGGCAGGTAGAGCACACATAAATTCTTTCAGATGTACTCTAGCAGCACTATTTTAAATAACACAAAGTGTATCCCAGCAGCACTATTTTTAAATGAGCTTCATCTCTCTTTTTGAAACATATGTAAGGAAATCATTTTTCTTCTCTGTCATTTTCTGACAGTAAGAACTTCTCACTTCTCAGCGAGCTACATGATTATTTCTGAAAGCCTTTTATTAGACAAATTTGATATTTAAAAGGAGCACTGAAAAACAGAAAAGAARAAAAGTTCAGGAATTAATAGAGAACTTGGTGCAAACAAGAATCATGTTTGGATCACTGAATTCAAATGTACAGGTTTGTACAAATTACATCTTCCTTATGTGAAAATCTATTCCTGATTTTAAATGAATCAACATACTGAAAATATTTTCAAAGTTCAATGGCAGAGACAGCTGAAACAGCCAAATATCTAACCAAGAGGTGTCTTTACATACGTTCTAAGATAGCCATTCACTCCAAACTAATTAATTCAAATTAATTGAGTTACAGCACCACTGCTTTTCAGAGTCAAGTGAACAAACTTGATTTTTACTACAGGGACAAATGCTACCCACAAAATGATATAAAAAGGATCTGTAGCTGTGAGTACCTAGCAATTTTTTGCCTAACCTGAAAATACTGCCAACACAGTAATTGAAACACTGAGTGTTTCATTATGACAGGACTCAATAAATACATTTGGTGAAATCTGAAGGGAGTTTCCCAAAGAAGTTAAAGTGTCATAGCGCCTTGAAATACAAAAGACAAGCAAAATTCTGCAAGAACCGTCAAACAAGAAGAAATATGAAAGAGATGATTGATACCGTTTCCACCCAGATTTTCTACTTTTCTGTCACCAAGCAGAGAAGCTTCTAAAAATCTTCTGGGTGCCAAGTATTACTGCTGCTACAGTGGATTTGATACATCTTGCCTTGTTTACTGCAGCAGTAAGATATTTTAGAGTTTTAAAACAAAAAAAAAAACAACCCTGCTGTTCTGCTCCTAAAGGATCTCACTTCATATAGAGATTATATAACAGTTTACCTTTACAGCTGTTAAAACAGAAGTATGTAACTGGAAGATCAAGGTACAGTTGCAAGAATTTAATTAATATCCATATATGAGGAAAAATCTACAAATCTACCATCAGATATTTGTTAACGTTTAAAAGAACCCTATCAAAACTTAACATTTTTGTTCAGCTGAAGTGACACTGAAGTTGAATAAACTGTCAGAGGCAGCTATTTGGGCCTAAAATCTCCAAGCAGCACAACAATTTATGTCATAATAATAAAAAAGAAGAGAATAATTAGCCACAAAGTACGCTTGAAATAATCCCAGGAGGACAATCATATCCATAACTCTGCACATAACTTTAAGCTGAAATTACATAAGGGATATATTTCAGGTCCCATATAAATTTGGCTAAATTGAAGTGACCTAAGAACTGCTGCATTTATTTTGAAAAAGACCATATTTTTTTTTAAATGCTGCAGAGAAAAATTCTTGATGTTTAATGAAACGTAGGAGCACCACTATTAAAAAGTTCATCACTGAAAAATTTACTTTACAAATTACTAAAAACAAGCWAAGAAAAAAATAGATGTTAACACTATAAATGGACAACAGCATAAATGCATAAGTCATTTTTAATATCAATCCAAATATAGTCACTTTAATTTTTACTAAATAGGAGTTTCTATTATATTTTGAAATAAACCAATAATCAGTACAGTTTTTACAGTGAATAAAACTAGTCGTAAAATTACATAGCAACACTAATTGCCTCTTGGCATTTTTCCCATGTAGATTTAAGTAAGAACACAAACTAAGAAACTTGTAACAGTAACCACCAGAAAATAGGAGATGTCTGGAACCCAAGTTTAGCCTTGCAATTACCACAGCTGACGTGTTACTTCCTCAGACAACATGTAGATACCATCTCTGTAGCTTTTCACCAATCTAATTCTGATAATGTATACTGTTTCTTAAACACTTGAATAGATGTTTCCTAATGAAAAAGCTTAGAACTGGCTGATCAGTTTGAATTAAGAAATACAGAACATCACRACCGCAAGGAAGGTATTTTTCCTGCAAYTGAGCTGCAAATTTGGYAAGAGAAGACAGGTTTCAACATGAATCATTTGTTTGGATCACAATGTTTTACTCAGTGCAAAATAAAGATAAGCATCTAGTAAAACCAGACCTCAGCTTAACCCATCTCTGACATTTATGTAATGATGTTGCAGCTTGCCAAAGCAGGTGAAGGTCACAATCCTGATCATTGAGAAAGATCCAAAATATTTGTAACACTATCATAACACCGAATAGCCGCACAAAAATCATAAAAAGTATGATAGCAAGTTTAAATACCTGGGTTTTTTCATAAAAAAGCAAACCCAATAAATGCAGATGAACATAAAAAGAAGCTTACTTTGTTGCTACTGATACAAGTTAAACATCATTTCCTCATAAAACAGGAAATAATGAAAACATGTATGAAAAATGGGAACTATCTAACACAAAACTCCAGGAGTTAGACACAAAAACATCCAATTTTTTTCTGAATTGAAGAATTAAAGGGTTTTACAATGTACTTATTGCTGGAGGCAGAATGTCGCACCAGTTTTGGCCTTTTCGGACAAATTTGACATTAACACTAGACATCAATACATTAACTGCATTTTATGAACTATCTATCATCTAGTACCATGAGGCATACACAGATTAATTTCTAATTGCAAAATGAYTGTCACTTGTTCACAAACACCATGTGTGAAAATTTGGGCAAACASCTGCAATTACCCAGGTTTGATGCCTGCTTACCAGCTACCCCCTCTTCTCAGTCTACATTACTGACATTCTGGTTTTGCTGCTGCCAGCTGAACTGGCTGCACCCACAGCAAACACCACAAGATAYTGCTGCTGTGTCAGCCCAAACAAATTTGCACTGCTGATGACAGAGGAATGGGATGGCAGGCTCTGGGCTTTCCTGGAGCGGGTCACAGCTCTGCTGCTCACACGTTTGTGGGAGGCTGTGCTGCTCCTTCACTCCTGACAACACACAACCCCTGCCCCTGGCAGCTCACCTCAGTGCCTGGATTGCTGCTCCAGGAAGTGCATTCCMTCACACTGCACAACTGTCTCACTCCTTTCTATAGCTGATGCTATTCTTCTTTTAATTTTTTTTTTTTTTGGTCAGAGAAGAAAGGGCAAGTAGCTAAGTAATGCTGAAGATTAAATTACTGAAAATTTTAACTTCTAAAACTATGGGGGGCAGGGGGTGATAAGGGTTTTCTTTTTGTTTGGTTGGTTCTTTTCTTATTTGGTTTGAGTATTTTTACAGGTTTTTAGATTTTCCTTCTATCAGAGTTCTYTAAGTCTGAAGAGAGTACTGGGACAGTACAGGCTCCAAATTGAAATATTTGTCCATGACCACTAACCTTGCTCATAGAAAAACCCATACCATCCATCTTGACTTAGTTTTCCTTCAAGTTCAGTGTTATCCCCATATCCATGTACTGGCTTTCAGGGAATAGCACTAAGCCAGCCTGAATGGAAAATACATAATTTTAGGTATTTAAACAACTAATTAAAACAAATTAGAGTAATTTGATCTTGAAGAAACAGTTTTACGGTAATGCAAATCATCCTGATCACATTATTAACTCATGYCAGCCTCTTTCTTCCAGCTATGCGTTCTATTGAAGTCTACATTTCAGGATTGAAGGAGGATTTCTTCATTTGGTAAGAGAGTATTTTAGAAAAAGGATTTAGACTCCTTAAATACATGCACAGGTTAATACCAATGCAGTCTTTGTCTGGCTACAATCCACGGGGATTATCTGATTTGATTTGTTACGATCTCTACAAGGTAAGGCTTAGCACAAAGGTGCCTTTTTATGCAGATCAATGGAAAGGGCTGGTTGAAATGTGAGTGTAGAACATCACAKAAATTACCAAGAGACAGGGTCTGTGATCAGCACTTTGSTGTTGGAGAAGAAACAGYATTTGAGTACAATTTTATTAATGCACCACTGCATCCTCCAGATGATTAAGTTTTACAATCATTAGCATACAGAATACCTATAGCAATCACCAGGAGAAAAAAAAAAGGTGCTAATTTATTTGATGTTATCTTTGTTCTTCCTGTTTTGAAAACAATTCCATAAATATTTATGGCTAAGTATAATGTCAACCACAATAAAGTAAAACAAAGCTATAAAACCTGAGAACCTGTATAGCATGTAGGATACATTTGCTATGAATGAATACTTTATTACTCCCTATTTGWGAAAAAACAGATTGAGGCTAAGACATGAGATCAAAACGTTCAGCACCAAGGAACTTTTTATTCCCTAGACTCAGTTTTAATAGACAAACTTGCAGGCTGATCTGTATAAGCAGTAAAGCTTGATGCATGCAACTAAAATATTTAGCACACGAGGGGGGTGGTAAGAACATATTACATAATTTTTTTCTTGGGAGAAAGAACAGACATTTGAGGATTTATACCTGGTGATTCTGCTTCTCTGAGAGGCACTAGAATCCTCTAAAAACATACAGCTTTTGAACACCTAGAGCAAAAAGAAGCACATCTCCCATACCTATTGCCCAACAAATATTCCTTATTTTACCAGTTCTTATTTCCTTTTTATTATTAAAAAAACTGCAAGACAGATACTTTAATGGAGAATTCATACACCTGAAAGCCAAGATGACAACATTTACAATTACTTGTGCACTTTAATTCTTTATATCCGACTCCRTTTTGCACATACTGCTTTTTAACAGGGAAACTGTTTGCAAGAATGAGAAGTTAAGTGATACCGAAAAGGGGAAAGGATATAGYAAAAATTAGCCCAGAAGGGTAATGAGACTTGATGTTGATAAATTAAAGTCTTTGAACATCCATCCCTCAGCTCCATAATCCAAAATTCCCACAATTTACTATTCAGAAGTCCTGAAAAATTAAGTATTTTTTGAATTAACTACAAAAATGCCTCAAGAGAATATCCTAAACCCTTCTATCTAGATACTGATGTATCTAAAACAAATAACCACCAGGTCTACCTCTGAACCTTAAGCCTCTTGATGTTGGATCCTTCCAAGTCTTTGCCAGATAACTGAACTCACATCTGATCAGCAGCTGCAGGCACTAACCACGGATTGCAGAACACAAAAATGCAATCCCTCTCACAAATCTTCCCAGAAACATTCAAATATATCAATATCCTTATTGAAGACTGGACATCTGAATTCAGTATAATTACTGAGCATTAGCACTTTTTCAAATTATCTGAATTAGACTTGTCCACTAAGATTTGACAACTGCCTCACTTTCTTGCTCACTTCCCATTTGAAGTCCCACAGCCTCATTTSATACTCCTACACTCCATTTGCTGAAGTTCAATTTCCTTTTGAAAAATTATAGTGATCATGCCATCTTGGTTAACTTTTACCATCACATTATTCAACCTTTCTCCATATAAGTCATCAATTCTATAGTTTATGAAGTAAAAGCAGAGTTCTACTACCACAGGAAAACCTACAGCTTCTTTCCTGTTGAGTTCTGGTTCTTCTCACACAAAGATGAGTTTGAATGCTTTAATGTTTCCTCGTGAGGTCCTTACCTATTTTTCATGGGKTTTTTTTTCCTCAGGAAGTTGAAAGAAAGGGTTGCACTCATGTACCTTATACACAACACCATAAACATTTTCATTTTAACACTTTAACAAGGATTACAGATTAGAAAATGGGATGAACAACTTATTTTAAACTCCAGGTTCACGCACAAAAGTTGTTGATGTTTTTCCATTAACAGCTCTCAGTATTCAGCAGCCAGCTTTCCATTTTCCTTCCTGCCACTCTCATTAATGTAGTAGAAGGTGGTGAAGTTAAGTGGAGAAATCACGGAGCAAGAATATTATATAAGAAAACCAAAGAGCAGGACAATACTTATAAATGGCAACTGTGACCAAGTATAACCATACAGGTGATTGAACACAGCTACCCAGCTATGGGAAGAGTTCTCACTCCACCTTACTCATGCTCAAAATACAAAAACCAGAATGCAGCAGAACAAAAGCTTCATTCAATGCAATGGCAAAACTGTCCTCCATTTCCACTGGACAACTTTAATCCATGAAGAGATCTACTAGAAACCAATTATGCTTTGTACATGGGATTTTGAAATGAAGATGTGTTAGTACTACAGAGGATGCCAGAATGACTAAGTTCACAGTAACACTGTGCACGTGTACAAGCACGCCTGCACGAACACAACTTCCCCTTTTATTCTCTACTTAACACTGTTTGAAAGTCAAACTCCAACCATACAAATGCAGCAAAGGAAAGCAAGCTTGGGATATTGATTTGCAATAAGCCATTACTTACATTAACTCTGAAAGCTTGTACAGTGTTATCCAGGAGAAAAATGTTGCAGACCACCTCCGTATGCTGCCTGTCTCGTGCCAGCTCAGATGCTCGTACATTGTAGGTTCTGCCAGCAGGCAATCGGAAACGTGCGGTCATTACTGTCCACACAGGGTCTGCAGGCAAAACAAACATAAATTTAGAAAGAGCCAAAAAATGCAAATGCAAGAATGTCATACCTCAAAGAAAGGTGAGCACACAGCAAATCCATTATTTAAAAACTCCATTGCAGACRAAAGAAAAATGAATACCAAATTCACAGTAGCCAATAACAAAGCAATGCCCCACAAGTTACAACATAACCTTATACCAAAATACTCAGTCCTTTACTTTCTGCCCACTGTCCACACCCTCCCTATTTTAAGGTTGTTTTGTGGGTTTGCTGACTTTCTGTTGTTTTCTTTTTTTGGTTTGTTTTTGAAGATTCACAACAACATTTTCAATTCAAAAAGCATTGTAATTGTTGGGCATCATGGCTACCAGCTTCCCRATATTAGATGCAATTAAATAACTAATTTAAGTGCGAAACCGAAAAAAAACCAAAAAACAAAAAACCAAAAAACCTTACATAAAAAGTTTTCTAGAGAAAAAGAAAATAACAAACACACAAGACCGATGCATTATTCTGCAAGGGCTGTGCATTCCCTGTAAAATCATTTAATATGAGAATGCACAGTGGTAACAAAAATGTTAGCATTGTTTCTTCCCCCTCCTTTTTTAAAATTACAATATCAATAGTTTACTGTTTGTCAAACTACTGAACCTTCTGTCTATGTCAATTTGATTGGATTTACACATCTAGGTTYGGGGCACAAACAGTTCTCATCCTATCAGAAATCAAATGTGACGATGATAAGTCTACACCCTGTGCAGAGAGTTAATAAATAAAATGCAAGAACTGGCTTTCACTTTTCAAATCTAAGATTCTGATGATTATCATCTAGTCCCAGTCCAGCAAAGTATTTATGTGCCCATCTGAAGCTATCAGCTCTATCCAATGATGCCAGCTACTTTCTCAAGTGCCTCACAGGATCAGGGCCTGTGATTCACTTTAATTACACACTCAGCAAACTATTTCTACATCCTTTGACAAGGGCGTAACCAAACAGAAAGTTTCATAACTTAAATAGAAAATATATTGAGACATAAAATTAAAGTATTTTAAGAGTAGTAAAAGAACACAGATATTCTCAAAACTGAATATAAAATGACTGATTTTCCATATCTTGTAAAAGATTATGAAGCCTTCMAACACATCTACACATTWGCTTTGCATCTGAGAAGGGGGAAGGGAACATATCAAGATTTAAAAAGAAAAGAATTTAGCAGAGGACAGCAAACATTCCAGCAGTGATTAGAGAGCCTGCATGGATTGYAAGAGGTATCTGTGTTCCAATATACATAAACGAAGAGGGACGGGGTAAGAAATGAAAGATCAATCTCTCCYAMAYAGTTGGTAACTTAGATACACATGCTCTCATGGGAAAGTGGAAGACCAAGATCCAAGTTAGGACTCTGTGGTTTAACCATCTTTCTACTGCCTGCAAAGTACCTCCTGAGCAACTACCCTTAAAATCCCTAAGRTATTTCGCTTTTCTAGATCACATCTTCAGCTCTCTAAGCATGACCACACACCTCGGATATAAAAAAAATCTTCTTGATGATAATCCATCCTTGCAAAATGCCTCAGTTTTAACTTACCCAGCATTTTYGGACTAACAAGTACTTGTTTCCTTACCAGACAGCTTTTTTATTTCAGCTACTCAGTCACTCTGGCTTCAGAATTGCAATGCTGTGTTCATTTAGAGCTACAGCACATTTATTTTTGTTTTGTGAAATTAACATGACAAACCGAATGATACACACACCAGATAAAGCCACCAGCTGCTAAATTTATGTCTATGTCTAAATGACAAATTCATGAAAAATGGTGTTGCAAACATTAAAACTCTCAAGTAAAGCCTAAAAGCAAAGTCCATCTGAAAACTCCTCATGGAAAGGCTGCTTTCACTACACCTTCTACTGATAACTACTGCAGTCTTCACAATTCCATTTGGTAGTGAGCTAGAGGCATCTAACTCAACACACAGTTTTGCAGCAAAGGGGAAGAGATTTGTTAAAAGCTAGAAACCATCATGTTTKAAGAGAAGAAAAAGGCAAGCCTCACCTTTTCTCCTGTTCTTTCCTCTATTTTTGTCTTATTTGCTGATCAGGACAAGTCCAGCAATACTTTTTCKTTCCTCATCACTATCTTAAATTAGACAGAAAGCTTCTGGGTTTCACACATAGCAACAAATCCGAAAGAGTGAGCAGAAAGAAAATCATTCCTCAGTGACCCTCAAAATCCTTTAACACCATGCAGCCATTCACTCTGTTGCTACAATAGACCCAACCTGCAGCTTTATCAAGGTTCTTGCTGCAACACAGACCATCTTTGCTCCAGCCAAACAAAAAACGTTGCATAGTCACAGAYAATGACTGGATCATTCTCAATGTAAATAAATGAAATTATCAAATTCTTGAAAGAAAGGACTGTATTATSAGTTTGCTATGGAAACAGGAGCAGCTATATTGGGCCAGAACAGTTCACATAGCTTGCAGAAGGCATTGCCTTCTCCACTCTTTAAGGAACAAAGAAATAAATAGGATACAAACATTTCTCATGCTGTTCCAGTCTGAAGTTTAGAATCTTCCTTGAATCTTCCTTGTGTGAAGTTCATATTCCCACCATGCTGGACATCAGCCATTCATGAATATTTTCTTCATGGACTTAGAAAACCATGTTTTGCACTTTCAGCTTATGCAATGAAACATTATATTCCATGTTCCACTTTAAATATCCCCATCTCATAGCTGACAAGTTTCTTGCATGAAACTGAAGGTTTTTTTGTAGCTACAGAACACAGTTTTACATGTATAATAATGGAAATGCTCTACAAAATGGAAATACAACAGCCGTAGAAGTAATAGAGAGGAAGGTRACAAAAGACTGTCTTCTCCAAGCCACATTCAAAGTTACTCTTTCCCTATATGTCCACAAATAAACCATGGAAGTATGTAGGGAATATGTTAAAATGCCTTTACCATCATATGCACTTCAAAAATACTCCTAACATCTGCCAGAGTTATTACACGGAACTGCTTTGTGGACAATCGTACACACAACCCATATTTAAACCTCTATCAGCACATGCACACTTAACAAAAAGGACRCAGTTGTTACACACAGATAGACCCTGAAATTACTGGTTTTACTGACACACTTGTATTACAACATAATTGGCCCCAACTGTATCCATACCATCTTCACTGCTTCTTTCTTCCAGAAATACATGCACCAGAAGCACAGACATATTATGTCTCCTGACCACATACTGCCATTCTTGCTATATATTTTGAAAACTTACTAGAAGTGAGATGGCTAATTATTGCTCATAMGATTATAAATTATAGCTGATTTCCTAACAAATATTGATATATAAATTGAGAAAATCTGCTAAGAAATTCAGTTACACTTATTGCATACTTCTCCAATAAAAATATTATAGCTAAAAGTAGTATGGAACAGAGGACTGATTTAAGCTCCAAAGTAAAATCTGCATCCCCAAAAGAAACAGGAATAAAAACGAAATCTGAGACTCAACCCAAAAAACAGTTTGAGARCAACTGGCTTAAACAGCAGCTTAAGTTAGGCAAGGTACTATTGCATGTGCACATCCATGTCACGTGCAGTACCACAGCCACTTACACTAAAATATTTTTATACATGCAAGTGGATTATTTAAATTGGACTTAAATTAATCTTTGCCATATGATGAAGGTTTTTTACTTATAATTTTTCAGTGTCTTCTGCTAAGCATGTAATATTTAGATATGTGAATTAACTATCTAAAGAACATGCTGCTACAGCAACTGGAGAAGGACAGAACTTGTGCAATGTAACTCCCCTTACCTCTCAGGTCTGTGGAGGGAGTAAGTTGTACATATCCTGCCTGAGCTCAGGTTTCCAGCGATGAAGCAATTCCAGGGAGTGTTTCCTATCAAAGGGCAGAACGTTCCAGCAATACTGGCTTGGCTAGGGCACTAAAGAGCATACAGAAGCTTCACAAACAAATTTTCGGCATCCTTTATTCTTTTATGTAAATTTATACAGTATAATGATAATTTGCTTGGGCTTACAGTGAACTAACTGATTTTAAGCAGCTTAATAAATAAGCAGTTGGTTAAGCAGGTAATTAACTGAAATTTAATTTATCCAAGAGTGCAGCCAATTTGCTGACATGATGTGAACTTTCTTTTAGAAGTAAGGTAATGTACAGAAAACATGTACTACCTCAACACGTTACTGTATGCACATTTGCATGCAAGGACATGAGAAATTTTGTTTTTCATGGCTCATCTAAAGCAGCTAAGCAGCACATGCATTGCCAGATTTTCATTTGTTTAGGAGTTCGTATTTTAGCAACCCAGAAGGCATGGATTTGCACTGTGGCCCACCTGCTCATGTGGGTCCAACACAGTACATGAACTTCCTACAAGGAGTAGGAAAGTAGGTCAGACTCACAGAAGACCCACGTCCTTATAACATGATGCAGCTTGAATATATTAAGTAAAATGTAGGAGGCCCCACTGCTACTAAAATTATCCAGACAATCTAATTATATATGAAATATATATACATACACACATATATATATATGTGTGTGTATATATATATATATATATATATATACATATATATATAAACCCCTGTTACAAGTACAGACAATTTTGAAGGTTTAAACAGAGTAATACAACATACTGCAATTCAAACAAACACTGGGGTACACATAGAGCCCATCTTCATGTAAGTTTATTGAAAATACCTTAATGACACTACATTACATGTTTAAATGTTTGAAATTATGTTTCAAACTAGTTTGAAAATGCTAAACATTAGCTGGTTCTACACCTTTCTGAGGGAATTCCACATTAAGTCCAAAGAAAAGGTTTCAAGTTTTTCTTTCAAAAATTTGTTTTGAAAGCTTTCAGCAATTCTGATGCAGCACATGGCTTCAGGACACTCCTTAGAAATAAAAGCAGAATAGCAATGCATTTTCATTTAAGTGAATCAACC